CGAGCCAGGGAACGTGGCTCGTTCAAACTGAGATGTGCCAACCACGCAGATCCCAGACTTAGCGCAGAAAGAGAACGTACGCTGTCTCATTAATAATTTTTATGTTGATTAGATATGTCAACGATAATATTCTGGATATCTTGGATTAAATAAAATCTACCAGCAAAATTAACTGGGCCTGTTTCCTTTACTTGTTTCGCGTGGCTGCCAGAAGCTGAAGCCCATGCATGTGGCTCAGCCTGAGAGACCTCCACCACCAGCGTCCTCGGCCCCAGGAAATGACAAGTTTACGGGCTCTGCGGTGGGAATGAACTTGGCCCAGCTGAGGCTGGCAGAGCTGCAGGCCGTGCACTAGGTAGGGGCTTGGGAGCCAAGTTAAGGAGTCGGGATTTCACCCCAGCAACAACGGGAGAGCAATGGAGGGTTTGCACCAGGGGAACACCACAGTCTGTTTCCGATTTTGCAAAGATGCTGCACTCGGATGGCCGTGCAGAGAGTCGACAGGCACGGAGGCGAGGACAGAGCAGGACCACCAGGCGGGAGGGCTCAACCTAGCGGGACCCCTCGGCTTTCAGCCCCTCGACGTGACCTGAGAGAGGAGGTCTTTGCCACAGGGCACAGGACTCTTGTTAATTCCCCTTACATTAGATTTTGATTATGTACACGACCTCTTTCGTCCTCCTCACTTTCTTCTTTCAGATTAGTGAAATTTTTTTCTTTTTCTTTTTGGCCTCACCGCACGGCATGCGGGATCTTAGTTCCCCGACCAGGGGTGGCCCTGAAGTTTTTCATCGCCCACACCGAGCCTCGGGGTTCTAAGAGCGATCCTGCTGCTTCAAGAAGTTCAGCGTGATCTACCCCCTCCTAGAGCAGAGAGGGAACCAGACCAGCTTTCCTCCGTGGATGGGTTTCCTATTCCTGTACACCACCACACGAACTAAGTGGGGAGGGGTCTTAGGTTTTCACTGTTCTGATCTCACTTAATTCTTTTACTTCAGTCTTGGTATTTACTATGAACGCACAGTTCCGTTCCGTTTTCTTCTCTGGTGCGGTTTTTTCCCCCACTTTTCTTGGGCCCTATTTTTGATCTTAGCCTCCCTGCTTTACTCCCAAAGCCTCTCGCTCAAGGATGTCAGCTGCACGGCAGCCCTCCAAGCTCATTTACCCTGGTATTTTCCCTTTGCTCTGCTGATCCTAGAGTCTCCTTTTTCCCCAGCTCATTGGTCATTTTTGCTACTGGTGAGTCGTCTTCTCTGACTCATGCCAGGCTGTGATGCAAAGGCCTCAGAGCACACCTGTCTGTGAAAGGCTGTCCCTGAGGAACACGGCCTGCACCCAGGCACGAGCTTGCGCATGTGGATTTGGTAAAGAGGAGAAAAAAATAATCCCCTTTTCTCTCTCTCTTTTTCTCCCCTCCGAATTTACCATTTCTTTCAGCTTCTGTTGGAGATTATCCCTACGGTGGGGTGAGTCTTGGTCATTCGTTTTGCATCCTTGTTTTTTTCAGTCTTAACCGAATTGGTTACAATATTGCTTCTGCTTTGTTGTGGTTGTTGGGCCGTGAGGCATGTGGGATCTCAGCTCCCCCACCAGGGATCAAACCCACACCCCCTGCATTGGAAGGTGAAGACTTCACCACTGAACCGCCAGGGAAGTCCCGTCATTTTGCGTCTTTAGAGGCAGGAGAACATTTCTTGAATGAGCCCAGAAAGCCTGAGGGGTGACAGATTTTCCTTCTGTGAGGTTCCTCCTCTGGGGCACAACATGGAGTCTCACCCGTGTGCCACACTGGGATCACGCTGCCTTTTGAGAGCTATGAAGATACCACCAAACTCAGGGGAGACGACGTGTACACGCAGCTTTGGTACCTGGACTGAACCTGCCTGGAGCTGCGAGCCAGCTCTGCCCTTACAAGCAGATGTGACGGAGGCCTCTGCCTCTCTGCGCCTCGGCTTTCTCACCTGTGAAACGGGGAGGGTATCAGCAGCTCCCCCATTAGTGTTCTTGTGAGGTTTAGGGACACCCCCCAGAGAGCACCCGGCACAGCAAATCCGAGCTGGAAAGACACCATCTCGATCCCCGGGGGAAACACACCATCAACTGCCCCTCCCTCCTTCCTTCCCTGAGTCTCTGTACGCACCTCTTCATCAGGGCTAACCCTGAAGTTCAAGGAACCCGATCCAAAAAGCACCCCATAAATACAAGCTCTTTCCCCACACTCTTCCCTGAAAGCCCCACATTTTACCGTTACAGACTCATTTAAGCACCTCCCGTCTAAATATAAAACTCCTGGCTGAGGTGTTGTCATTAGCTCTTAGCACCTGGGAACAGACCAGCCTCTCAGGTGCCCACAGCAAGGGGTCCGAAAAGGCCGGAGGAAGGAGGAACGGAAAGCAGGGATGGGAGCACAGCCCGTGGGGTGGGGCGGGGTGGAGGTGATACTTGGGGACAGCAAAGGACAGCAAGGTCTTTGCAAGGAGACAGAAGAAACTGGTGGAGATGGTGCCACTGGGGAAGAGACTGGGAAGCTGGGGGAGGGTAGGGGAAGCAGTGACAGAAACCACTTTTCACTGGACATCTTTCTGTATTATTTGAGTTTTGTACCGTCTGCATGTATGACCCAGCCAACAAAAAATGAAATAAGGGAGCGGGGGATATTGGGTATTTGGGTGAGACAGAGCCAGAAACAAAAAGGTCCTGAAGGCGAACGGACCAGTCGCGTTGGCTATCTCGCTGGCAGCCTGCCCTGCTCTCACCGCCCCCGCCCCCCGGGCCCAAATCAGAAAAGTCTCTCTATGAACTCCTGCACGGCTCATCTTTAGAACATCGGCAATACTTTCTCAGGGTCAAAATCTGAGACACTGCAACTCAGAGTTCTCCAGACCTTACTTAAAAGCCCCTCAGAATCACTGGAAAAGCCCAACAAAGGAAAAACGCGACTTCTCTGATGTTGTGGCCTCCGGCTTTGACCAGCTGCGCGAGGTCTGACCTGGGAACATCGTGTCCAGCTGCACCGTTTATCTCACTGTCAGTGAGCCACTCCTCTACCACAAGGACGACGGGGTAAAGCAGAAGGCCAAGGGAGGAAATCATCCCTCCAGGGCCCCTGAAGAGCCATCAGAGAAACCCACATCCTAACCTGGGCCGGAGCCACGAGAAAGGCCTGCCACTGGCGGATGGGGGAGGGGAGGAGAGGCCATGGGCTCTGCAATCAGTCAGGAGGCTGGTCGGGTCCTGCACGACCTCCGGCAAGTCACTCAACGGCTCAGACCCTCCCTCCCCTCACCTGAGACACACACAGATCACAAGCTGTCAGTTGCGAGTTGTAAGCATCACAAACGCTTCGGGCACAAACATCCAAAACCATGTCCTTAGCCTGAAAAACAACCCAGCCCCTCCTGCCAGTTCTTCCCTTTAAAAGGTCGATGGATCTCGAAGTTAGAAGGTGTTATGCATTGAATTGAACAATGAAAAGAGACGCTGAAGTCCGAAGCCCTGGAACCTGTGAATGGGACCTTATTTGGAAACAGGGTCTTTGCAGATGTAATTAGTTAAGATAAAGTCATTATGGAATAGGGTGGGCCCCAAATCCCATTTGACTGGTGTCCTTACAAGAAGAGAGGAGACAGAGAGACACGCACAGAGGGAAGATAATGTGAAAACACGCACACACACACACACGCACACGCACACACATGCACGCACGCACATGCACGTGCGGAGAAGGCCATGTGACCACAGAGGCAGGAGTAGGAGTCATGCAGCTGCAAGCTGAGGAACAGAAAGGATGGCTGGAAACCCCCAGAGGCTGAGAGGGGGCCCCGAACAGACGTTCCCGCTGAGCCCCCAAGAAGGAAGCAACCCTGCTGACACCTTGATTTTGGATGTCTTGCCTCCAGATCCGTAAGAGAATATCTATTGCTCTAAGGCCCCCAGTTTGTGGTGCTTTGTTACAGCAGACCTAGGAGACTCATACAGAAAGGGATCTGGGTTTACTGTCTATCTAAGGCTTGAATTCTCTTGCCCGATGGTCAGCTAGCCAGCCTGTGGATGGCTGTCTCTAGTAAAAGACGACTAGTTTAGTATCTACCAATGCAGCAACCCCTCCCATCTTCGAAAAGGTCTGTCATAAAAATCATTCATTCAACAAATATTCATTGAGCACCTACTACGTGCCAGGCAGGCACGGTTTGGAGCACTGTTGATACAACGGTAAAACGGGGAGCAGACACTAAGAGCACTTACAAATAAGGCCATTTCTGATGTTTTGAAGAAAGTAGAACACCGTAACACCAGTGAGTGGGTTGGGGACCAGGATGAAATTATTTATATTGTTAGGGAAGGTCCCACTAAGCATGTGATACTGGACCAGCGACCTGAATGACAAGGAGTCAGCCACGGAGAATCTGGCCGGAGGAAGAGCCAGTGCAAGGACCTGAGGCAGAGCAAGCTAGACCTGGACAAAGCACAGAAAGAAAGAGGGACTTTTGTGAGAGAGTGAGAGAGGGTTAATTGATGAAGCTGGAGAAACAAGGAAGGTCAGTCAGTCCTCGTATAGTAGACCCAGGTAAGTAGTTTGCATCTGACCGCAAGACTACTGAGAAGTCACTGGGGAGAGACATGATTTGATTCTTCGTTTTTAAAAGATCACTCTGACACCATAAAGTTCTTATAACTGAAGTCTTTTTAAGTATAACTTTTGTCCTTTCATTCTTGGGATCTTGGACCCTCACAGAACAAGTCTGATAAATGACATTCCTGAATCATGGCTCCCAAGATTTCCAGGCTTACCAGCTCTAACTCATTCCCCACTGTAGCATTTCCAGTAAATATGCATGATGTTTTTTTCTATGTCCTTCATTAAATGTGATGCCCAGAAAAGAACTCGATATTCTAAGCACGAAGTAGATGAGAACTTTCACCTTGGTCATTCCAGATCTACATGTCCATTGACGTGCCCCAAGATTGCCTTGGTTTTAATTCTGTTTTGTAGCACTGACCTGCTGGAACACATCTCAGATAACCTCCGCTGGTGTCCTTTTTCAGATCTAGATGCTCAGATCGAGAAAACAGGATTCAAGCTTATTCTTCCCTAATGAGAACAGCTGTGCCCTCTTTAAAAAAAAAAAAAGTGTCACCATAACGCAAACAATGCCATGCATAAAAAACTGGATAAAATAAACAAAAGTACTGGGCCAACTCCTCAGGTTTCACAACCACTGCATTTTTCTTCCGGGTGGAGGACAAGGAAAATGATTATGGTAAGTTTCCCTAGAATTGCTTTGGTCTCTTGCATCACGTGGCTGAAGACACCTAGACTATTAGGAAACACTGAGCGCTTGGGCAAAAGACACTCCCTGCGATCATACTTCCCACTAGATTTCTCAAAGACTTAAACAAATCTGAGTAGGCGCAGACTGCCGAGCCTGGGATAGAGGGAAGTGGTGAAGAGAATCCACACCTGCGAGCCAAGCTGACTTAGCAGGTGGGGCAAGCGGTGGGAGAGGAGGATGCTGGGAAAGCCCTAGGGCCCTGGGCTGTGTGTGTAATCTGTCCTCATCCTTCCCACAGCCCACTCGGCAGAGCGGTGACGGGCCACTGCAGCTGGTGTCACATGGCTAGGATTAACGCTCTGCTTTGCCCCCTAGTAGCTAAGTGACCTTGAGCAAGTCACTTAGCCTCAGTTTCCTCATCTGTGACATTTGTGAAGATCAATTAAGATTCTGTGTGAAAGACGTTTGCAAATTACTCCGTCCCGTAAAAGTGAGGGGTTATCATTGGCAAAAAGGATTTTTACCCCTCCCTTTGCATGTCATGAGGGTTGACTTTTCCTGACGTTTTCTCTTCCCAGGCTGCTTCTGATGGTTCTTTTAACTGGATTATTTTCTTTTTTGAGGGAGGATGGGGAGGCATGTAGCATGACTCATCCCACCCTAAACCCTTCCTAAAGACTATCCTAAAAGAAGTACCCTCAGAGCCATCTGGGGTCACCCCAAAGCAATTTACCTTCAAAGAACCAAAGCTATTGTCATGCAAAAACAAGCACATCTAATATCTGTGGATACCCTCCACTCTCTGGAAATCCGAAGCAAGTTATTTAAGGCTTGTGATTTACTCAGGTCACCGAGTAGCTTTTCATTGGCCTTAGTCGTTATGTTCTCAAGTAATATAAACTATCTTCACATTAACTCACACAGGCCATACAAAAGACAAACACTGCAAAAAACAAAACAAAACACAGGAATGGACTCCAGAACCAAATAAGAAGTTAACCTGCTGCTCGCTAAAGTGTCTATGCCTGAGTCCTTAGCCATCTTCATTTCCTTAATGGAAAAAGAGAATCTTATGAGTCAACTTTCTCATCGTGAGCTGATCTCAATAGCCGGTCGCCCTGTGTTTCAAATGCGTAAGCAGTCCTATTTCTGCACAAGGTGGAAATAAAAACCAGTGACAGCCCAAGGGAGAGATGGAACAATGGGAGAACATACACTTCCAAACAGAACCGTGAAAAGATGGGAAGAAGCGCTCACGTGTAATACAACTGGATTTTTTTTCTTTGCTTAATTCGGTGTTAAGCATCTTGGCTGCCCTGGTTTAGGGTGAGGGAGGGGGTGCCTCTCAGCAAATGAGCCCAAAACCTTAGCATTAGGTGACAATGGTCTGGAGGGCGGTCTGGCTACAGCAGCCTGGTCCCTGACAGCTGTTGGCTTGCCTCCAAACGCTGACTCGCCTCAGGGACAGCCTGCATGTCAAGCACCTCACCTGTGCCAGCTCAGAGGTGAGTTCCTGCCCAGTCTGCAGGCTGGCACCCTGGCCTCACACTTAAGCACAGTCATAGGAGCTGGCTGGTGCCCACTGCCAAGTCCTCTTCCTCTTCCCAAATCCAATCAACGTACAACCCAGGGAAACCCAGACCCCTCCAAGGGGCAACTCGCACCCAGCTCCAGAAAGACCGCATCCTGTCCTTTCCAAGACCCTGGACGCTGGTGCAGGCCACCCTGAACCAGCTGTTCCAAACAGCCTGTAACACTGTGTCGGTAGTGCTGGCCCCTCTGCGAAGCTCCTCCTGCTTCCTGAGCCTGGGGAGGAGGGGGCCCTGGGAAGGCACAAGCTGAGCCCTTTCTCCTTGGCCCCCATGCCGCCCCCAGCTGCCACCCCAGGAGCAGAGGGACAGCAAACTTAAAATCCAACACACAGCACAACTTGGCAAATGTCTTTCCCATCCCGGTCCCACGCACCCCTCCCCAGCACGCCCTTCCAGGAGTCGAGGCAGGGCGGAGGGGGGCGGGGGGGGGGAACCGGCTCCATCCCTAAGCCACCTGGCGACACCGTCAGCCACCGGGGAGCGGGGACACCTTGTCCAACCCCCCCCACACAGGTATCGCACTGCTCCTGACACGGTGGGCTCCTGCCCCGCCTTCCCATTTCCTGCAGAAACCCCAGAGGCCCTCGACCCCACCCCACGGTCCCTCACCCGCCGGTCCCTGGGCGCTCCAGCTGTCGCCCCTCGGAGAGCCCCCTCGCCGCCGGGAGAACCCGGCACGCCTTCCCCTCTCGGCCCCTGGCAGGGTCCCCTCTCACCGCGGCGGGGGCCGGCCGGCCGGCCGGGCAGACGAGGAGCGAGCGGGCGCCGTCGGGCTCGGGAATGCGGCCACTGCTCCGGCCCCAGAGCCGGGTCCTTCTGAGGCGCCGGCCAGCGCGAGCTGTCAGTCAGCTGGCCACGCCCGCCCCCGCCCCCGCCCACCCCGCAACCCCCCCGGTCCCGTCTGCGCAGGCGCGGGGCGGCCCGGGAGCGGCGTCACGTGACGGGGCGGTGCAGCTGTCGGCGCCCGGCCCTCCCGAGGGTTTCGGTCCACGTCCCGCGTCGCTCGGGCCTGGGGTCGTCCCTCGGCGGGAGGCCTCGTCCTGCGGCCCTGGCACGCTCGGGGACTTACCGTGGTTCGCTCTAACAGAGGGTCCCGGGAACCCCGTTTGCTGGATCTGCTCAAAACTAGGGTGTTCTCCGGGGCGGGGCAGAGCTGGGTGGGCGCAGGCCGCTATGCAAACAAATGAGTGGGTGATTTGGTGATTTTGGAGGGGGGAGCCCCGGCAGGGAGCCAGAAGGTATGGCCTGATAATGGTTGCTTGCCCGCCGTGGTATCCGCACCTTTAAAACAAGGATGCCCTTTGCCATTTCCTCCTCGCCTATTTCAGAGTTAGGGTGACGTCTTGACATTAACGAGCATACTTGTAAAACAAGTCAAGCGAGGATGTATGGAATAGAAGGGCAGTTTGAGGCCGATTGATTTTTTGAAAGGGGGCTTCTTAAAAGCTGATGGATTCCACCTTCTGCTCTGAAACGTCTAGGCCAATCAGCATCTTTTCACCAGATACAATAAACACAATTTTCAGGCTGTCGGGTTTGGGTTTCTTCCACGTGTCTTCAATTCAAACAAACCAAAACCACAAAAGGTAAAAAATAAAAGTACCTCCTAGGGGAGCTTTTTCCGTTCTAGAGCAAGTACAGAAATGTAAACTGACACCCCCTCCCAGTAATTTTGCGGTTATGGCAAACTTGGTTCCAGCACCTAGCAAAACAGTGTGGGCTCTGACGCCTCAAATTCTCTAAAGGCATTTCCAGAGCTACACTGCAGTGCTCCTTCTGGGGGTTGGCTGTATGACATAATAAAGCTCTACCTTTAAATGAATGCCCTGGTATCTGAACTAGGGCAGACTGTCCATTTCAGAAAACTGGGGGTTCTCCGAAGTCCTAGCAGTTCTTTAGTCTTTAGTTCCTGGAAGTCTTTAGTTCCTAGAAGGAACTAAAGATCTGCCATGTAGGAGAAAAGATGACATATGGATTGGTGATCAAGTGTCTTTCCTGTGCACCAAGCATGGAGCTGCTGATCGCAGGGAAGTTGGCCTATTGAACTTAAAAGACTTTCTGGGAGGGAGGTCTTCCCTGGCAGTCCAGTGATTAAGACTCCCTTCCCCACTGCAGGGGGCATGGGTTCGATTCCTGGTTGGGGAACTAAGATCCTGCATGCCCGTGTGGTGTGGCCAAAAAGTTAAGAAAAAACTTGCTGGGGGAAGTTAAAGGGACCAACGTGGAGGACAAAGCTGGAAGCTGTGGTTCCACAAGAGTTATGGGGCCTTCAGCACCACAGGTCCATTCCAGGTTTGCTTGACCAGCTCAGTGTAGCCATCATGTGCAAGAAACCGGATCTCTGGGTGTTTTAAGCTTGGTATGAAATCAGGAAGGGAAGGAGTGTAAGGTGGCGTTCATTCCCTTATGTGGGCACTACAGATTGGTGGGCATGCCATTGGTCCCTGTGAGTTTCTGCCCTGCGTCCAGCAGAATACAAGCCCATCATGAAGACTTTATGGGATGGAGGAGGGTCATATGTGTGGCTAGAGGAAGTCCTCCCTTGGTTCAGTGAGTGAACCCAGGACCAGGCATGGGCTCTTGCAGCCTTGTTCTGACTCTGGATATACCAACTAGTCAAGAAAATTGGAAAATGTGAGTTTATTCAGGGTCGGATTCCATTTGGGGGAAATGTCATTTCTCCTCAAGAGATTCATATGGACCTTATCTCTCCATACCACATAAAAGATATTCCGTACTTGCCAGCAAGTTGGAGAGAGGCAGATGATATGGCCATTTTATTTTAAAAAAAAAGGGGGGGGGTAGTGAGTTCTACAAACCACAGACCAGTGAACTTGACATTGGGCCTGGGAAGCATTCAGGCCAGGTAACTCATGAAAAACATCTGTGACCCCTCAGAAGAGGAAGCACTGACGTCAAAGACCAAGTCATGCTGGCTTAAGCATGAGATTTCAAGCTATGAAATCTATAGACTCATAATTCAAGGAAATATGATAGAAGTAGTGTATTTGCACCTGGAAGGTATATTTACCAAAATTCTTTCAGTAATAAGTGACAGAAATCCCGGCAAACTGGTTTTTCAAAAACTGAAAAGTTCTGGGGTTGGCCCAGCAGGATCCAGGGGCCAAGTGATGTCATCAGAACTTGGTCTCTCTCCCCTTCTTGACTGCTTCCCTCTGAGCTGGGCTTCATTCTCAGATCAGGTTCTTTTTATAGAGTGGTCTTCAGCAGCAACAGGCTTATGTTCTCTCAACTCAGCAGCCCCTGTGGAAAAAAAGAATTTTCTCCTTCGGTATTTCCAGCAAACGTCTCAGGATTTGGTCTGAAAGGACGAGCAGCGCTCATATGCTCATGCCCTTAAACCAATCGCTGAGGCCAGGTGTTGGAGATTGGCCCCACCTAACTACTGGGTGGAGAGGAAGGGAAGGGTGGGTGCCCATGGGAAACTGAGGTGCTCTTGCCAGAAGAAGAGGGGTGGGTTTGGGTCAGGCAACGGAAAGCAACAGGGGCTTCCCTGGTGGCGCAGTGGTTAAGAATCCGCCTGCCAACGCAGGGGACAGGGGTTCGAGCCCTGGTCCGGGAAGATCTCACGTGCGGCGGAGCAACTAAGCCCGTGTGCCACAACTACTGAGCCTGTGTGCCACAATTACTGAAGCCCGCGTACCTAGAGCCCGTGCTCTGCAACAAGAGAAGCCTGCGCACCGCAACGAAGAGTCGTCCCCACTCGCCGCAACTAGAGAAAGCCCGCGCACAGGAAAGAAGACCCAGTGCAGCCAAAAATAAATAAATAAATAAATTTATTTTAAAAAAAAGGGAAAGCAGCAGATACCCGGAACCAAGCATTTGCTAAGATATCTTGTGATATTGTATAATGAGCATGAAGAAAAGGTGGGAGAAATAGTATATTCATTTGATGGGTGAATCAATATTCAAAATACTTTGATTAAAGGATGAATCCAAAAAAGAACTATACAGGATAAAGCAGGCAATGTGGCTTCTCCACTTTATCAGTTTAATTAGTCTCTGAGCTCCACGACAGGCAGGACCTTTGGTTTTGCTCACCCCTGTGTCTGCAGCACTTAACATGGTTCCGAGAGTAGGCGATTAAATATTTGTTGAATGAACCAACACAGGTTTAAGATAAGGATCTGGGGGGTGGAGGTGGAGGAAAAGAAGAGGACTGAGTTGTTGGAGCCAGAGCACAAGTGGGCAGGGACTTGCTTCCAGGCAACTTGGTGGATCAGGTCCTGGTAGGAGGAGCTGGGGATCACATCCCAGGTGAGCCCTCAGGACTTGGTATAGAGCTGCTATGTATAGCGCATGGCCTCTGGCTCCTTAGAGAGTGAGAATGTTATGGTATAAAGAGCAGGATCGTCAGAGCTGGACAGAAAGAGGTCTGCAGGCTAGCTGGGCTCTGCTTCTTTGGGGCGATCACTTAACTGAGCCTGTTTTCTCAGCTGCACAAAGAGATCGTACCAGTTTCACAGACATGAGGATGAAGAGAGTCTATGAGGCAGCGAGGCTCCTCTCCTAGCTGTATGACCTTCAGCACACTCCTTAAACTCATTGGGCCTGTTTCTTCGTCTGAAAAAGGGGCCAACCATGGCACGTTCATTCATTCATTCAATGCATATTTATTGAGTCGCTGCATTTGGACAGCGAACGAGACCAACAAAATCCCTGCCTTTCACGAGGCTTGCATTGCAGTGAGGGATAAACGATGGCATAACTAAGTGACAGAGGATGTTAGCTGACTTGTGACCAGGAGCAAAGCAGGGAGGGGGAAGTGAACTGTTGCAGGAATGGGAGAGAGGGAGAATTTTTCAATAGGCTGCCGGGGAGGAAGATGTGCTCCGAGTCAAGTCCTGAAGGGCCTGAGAGAGCCAGCTTGGGACATCCAGGGGACACAGAGCCCCAAGCACAGGCCTGCTGCCGCAGCAGGCTTTACCCACAGCTGGAGGTGAGGTGGCCCAGTGAAAAGGAATTCAGGAACATATCATACCACTTTGGGTTTCTGGACTTCCTGGGCCTTGTTCAACACCATGGGTTGTGGAGTTTCAACCTTCCGGCTTCCTGATGCATTCAACATCACGATCTCAGTGGAAAAAGTAAGAAACCACCCAAACTCCCTTCTGAAGAAATTTCTGATTTTCCACTGTACAATAAACCGTTGGAAGTCTCTCTCTCTTTCTCCCACTGTTTACTTAAAGTACAGCATACAAATCATAAATGTACGTGGCTGAATTTTTACCAAGTGAACACTCATACAACCAGCACCCAGGTCAAGAAATAGAATATAACTGGCACCCTAGCATCCCCACCTCAGTGGTCATCACTGCCCTGCCCTGTCTTCCTCCACCAAAGATCAGTTTTGCCCAACTTTGAGCTTTTTATTAATAAAATTATACAGTATGTACTCTTTCATGTCTTGCTTCTCTTATTCAACATCCTGTGTGAGATTTATTTGTATTGTTGTATGTAGTGTGTACTTTCATTCTGTACCGTATTTCACTGTATACGTATACCACGATTCATGCATTCTACCCCCAAACTACAAACAACCTAAACATCTGTGAACAACACTGTACTGTGTATTGTGGGAACATTCTAGCACAAGTCTTTTGGTCCACCTTCAGCAGGTACTCCTAACAGCTGCCCTGGGCGGTTTAATCATCACATCCCTACCCCCAGCAGTGAGGTGTATGGAAGTCCCAGTTTTTCTACGTTTGCCAGCACTTGTTTTTTCACGTTAGCCGTTCTAGTGGGTGTGTAAATACGATTTCATTGTGGTTTAAGTTTGCATTTCCCTGATGACTAATGAAAATGAGCATTTTTTCATGTTTTGGATATTCTTTTGTGAAGTACCTGTGTTTTGCCAATTGTTCTATTGGGTTGTCTCATTCAATTTTTATGTATTTAAAAATGGATACATGGTTTACAAGCTTAACAAGTTACAGACCTATTCCTTGTATATTTTTCCAGGGATATTCTGTGTACGTAAACATATACATCCCCCAAATCTTCTTTTTCACACAAATACAGTTTTACACAATGGACTTAATATACCTCAAAGGCCACTGCACACCACAGCATTCCCTTTGTATGTATAACACACTTTATTTAATATACTGATGGCACACAGGGCGATGCAGTTTTTTGCTTCTACAAACATCCTACTGTAAACATTGAAGTGCAAACATCTTTGTGTACATGGGTGAGTCTGCCTGTAGGATAAATTCCTGAGCGGGACTGCTGGGTCACAGGGTGCGTACACTTAGATTTTTGTGATTCACATTTGCTATCTTGCTCTGCAAAGAGCTGAATAAATTGACAATGGCATCAATTTGGGCTGCCTTGGCAACAGAGGATTCACCGAACTTTCATCTTTGCCAACCCACTCGGTGAAAAATGCGGTCTCTTGGTACTCTAAATTTGCATTCGTTCCTTTTACTTTGAATGAGGCTGAGGATCTTTCCACGTGGTTGAACAGAGGCTCCACTTTAAAAGAACTATTTCCTGGGATGAGTGGTTAGCTGGAAACTAGCTCCTGATGGCTAAACAGAACTAATCCTGAAGATGGGATGTTTCCCATCCTTGCAAGGGCGTCCAATGTTAGGTTTTTGGTTCTATGGGCCTTATGAAATCAAGGTGAGGCAAAAAACTGTGTTGAACCACAGTCTCAGAACAGGAAGAAACCTTAGAAATCAAGTCTGAGATCATATTTTAGAGATTAAAAAAAAAAAAAAAGCTGAGGTTTGGAGAGGGGAAATGACTTGCAGAAGACCACATATCAAGTCTGTTGAGAAAGAGATGAAAGTCCTTGAAAGAGTTGAATTGTTTTTGTCAACTGCTGTCATCCCTGTTAAATATTTGAGTGAATGATTTTACTGTGCTATTTCCTTTAGCAACAATGCAATTTTAAAGTCACAATAAACAAGCCTATACAAGTGTGGGGACAGAGGAGAATTATCAGTCTTTTTGTGAAAGACTTTGAAATGGGTCAAAAAAAATTATTGGGTGCCTTCAATGGACAGCTAGGTGTTGTCATGCACACCCTTGGGTTATGTGGTTCTACGGATTTTTTTCTTTGCTTTAAGCTATTTATAACTCTATAGGTTTTGGTGAATCGAAAGCAATCCTAGTGATTCTGTTACCAAGGCTGTTGCCCCAGAATCATATCCCTGACCCTCCCTCGAATGGAAGCCAATTATTCTTATCTAAGTTTCAGGAGGAAGATGCAAACAGAAAAAAAATAAGAACTGGTTAGAACCAACCAGGCCCAAGATGGCCGAAGATTTGACTTCCAGTAGACCTTGAGCCTCATTATACTCTGTAATATATTAGCATATGTTAAATGACACACCCACCAGGGCCACGAAGTTGACGACTGCCATGACAACAACCAGAAAAGCCCATATAAGGACTGAAAAGGAGAGTTGCAACGGTTCAAGGTCCAAACCACACCCGTTCTCCAGTAAGTCAGGAATATTCCTCCCACTCCTTCCAATTCCCTCCTTTTAACCTCGACCTGCCAATATATTTGGTGGCTCCCCCTGAATTGGGTGGAGAAGTCGATTTGCGAACTAGATGCCCCCTTTCCATTCTTTGGCCACTAAATACAGCTGGTACTGTTCCAGTCTCAGCACTGGTTTCATCGTTGTCTGTGCGAATCTGATCGGAAAAAGACAAGAGGTCTCGGCTGGGGCTAGGACCCCGGCGCAGGTCCAGCTGACCAACCTGGTAACAATTTTTGTCCACCGACATCAGACATACAAATGAATCTCGTCTGGTAGAAGTTCAATTGACTTCCCCATTGTAGAAGAAGCCAGAAGCAGCTACTAAGCAAATTCACTGCAGCCTTCCTCACTGCACACGTGCCTGCCTTTCGGACTCATCTCTGAACCACATGTATCACCTTACCTACTTCCTCATGAATCAGTGAGTTAAATTAAATCTCTGACATGTGTTTATATTTGTATGACAGTCATGATTTAAGCTTTTCTTTTTTTTTTAAAGATACTCTTTTGGGGGGAGGGATAAATTAGGAGGTTGGGATTAACATACACACTACTATATATAAAATAGATAACCAACAAGGACCTACTGTATAGCACAAGAAACTATACTCAATATTTTGTAATAACCTATAAGGGCAAAGAATCTGAAAAAGAATAGATACATACGTATATCTATGTATAACTGAAATCACTGTGCTGTACACCTGAAACTAACACGATATTGTAAATCAACTATACTTCAATTAAAAAAAAAGATACTCTTAATTTGCTCATAGCAAGTATATCTTAAGCATAGCAGGCACTTGTAGTCTTGATGTTCTCCAAACACAATCATCCTTTCTTTCAGCCTATGCAAAAAGAATTGACCACGGATTGGAGGCCTACCCCACTTTTCTTCCACGTGGGAATAAACAGACCAGGAGATAGGAGGCTCAATGAGGGTTGACTGAATGCATAGTCCCATTGTGAGTGCAGAGGTACAGTAACAAAATTTTAAGCTTTCAAAGTTCAAATTTTGATGATTAATGCACCCCTTACTTCCAAAAGCTTGGCTGGATAAGCGTTCCTGGGAGTAAGAACGGTAAATTGTGAAAAGGTGGCTTGCAGGCAGTGGGAGTCTGATAGATCCCGCAGCTGCAATGACTGTTTCTAATCAATCTTACAAGTTAGTGGGTACTTAAAGAGTTTAATAACAAACACTGAGCGCCTACTTCCCAGCCCTGCGGAAATTGTCCCAAATATTCTAGGAAATACCACTCCCACCCCCCAAAAAAACCCAAACAAAACCCAACCACGTTTCCACCTTCAAAAACCTTAGGATTTAGCATCTGGAAGGAATCGCTGGGATGCCATGGTTTCCAGGTCGCTCAGAGGGGAACCAGAGGCTCAGCGAATCAGGAATCGCGCATCCAATGGCGCTTCCCCTACTCCCTACGTGCTTTCTGGCTCCGTCGTTCCCACTCGCGCTTCTCCATTAACCCGTGTTCCGTCCTCGCACGCCGTATAGGTCACACCTAACGCTGGCTCAGAAGGGCCACCGCGGGCTCAGTAAACCCGGGCAAGAACTCCCCGAGTCAAAAAGCCTAGCCGCGCGGCTTGGACCTTGCGGTAGCACGTAGCCCTCATCCTTTCTCTTCCGGACTTCAGTTTGAATGGGTCCCTTTATTTTAGCGAGGGGACCTTGCGACTAAGAGTCGCCTTTCTCTGGGAAATGTCAGTCTTTAAGGTCCTCTGTCCCAAAGGGATCCCGGCCGCTGAGTCCCAGCAAACCACCTCAAACACGCTTCTCCGCTGCCGGGAGCGGCGCGACCGGAACTGCGCAAACGCGGCGCCGCTGACCACGCGAGGTTCACTTCCGGGGGTCGTGCCGCCAAGCTCTCCAGGTTGGGCTCTGTCTCTCGTGTCCGCTCGGAGGCCGCCTCCCTCCGACCGGCCCGGCAGGACCGAGCCGAGCCGCGGGGCCCCCTCCGGCCCGGCCATGAGTGCGGCCGCATGATGCGTCCCTGCCTCGGCCGCTGCAGTCGCCGCCGCCGCCGCCGCAGGCCGGGAGGAGCCGCAGCGCCGGGCGACCCCGCCCGGGCCTCGGGTGAGTGCGGTGGGCCGGGGCGGGCTGCCCGCGCCCGGGTCTCCCGGCCACTCCAGGCCCCCGTCCGCCAGCCCCGAGCCCCCTGCGCCCTTTCCTCCACCCCACCCCGCACCTGCGACCTTCCCGAGTTCCTCGGGGCACCTCTGTGCCAGCGCTTGACTTCTCTTCCAGGTGTCTCCTTGTCACTCCTTAGTGCACCTTTCGGGGTAGGGCCCGAATTGCAGCCCCAGCTTTCTGCCTGACCTTGGGTGTGACACTCAGGGCTCCGAGCCGCGGTTTTCTCCTTTAATAACTAATAACGGGGTTGTCGTTGGAGTTAGAAGAGTGGCAGTAAATCCTGTGTAAGCTGTAAGGAGTAGTTTATAGGCATGCGTTACAGTGGGCTTCCTCTCACGTCACCCATGGCTTCTCGAATGAATGCTCCAGTTCTTCCCTCCCTTGTAAGTTTTAATTTTCCTTTTTTATTCTTTGCCCACCTTCTTCCTTATCTTCCCTTCCCCTGCCAATGATCTTTGGGGGATTGCCTGCCAGGGCACCTGGGACAGTCAGGTCAGCCTTCAGGGCAATGTTTGCATCTTTTCTTGCTGTCGCCAAGGCTCATCTCTCCTGAGGCGTCATTGCTGCTGAAACTAAGTCTCTTTTCGCTGTCGGATGGACACACTTTATTGGCTTATGGGTAACCAGTTTTGGGGGGGGGGGTTAAGAACTGTTGATGTAGCTTTGTAGCTTCTTTTACTCACCAGGTGGTGTAAAGGGCTGTCCAAGCAATGCTACAGTGTTTAATGTTTGCAGTCTGCTTAGTGTTTGTACTTAATGTACATAGATTTATCTGTTTTACTACTGCTGTCTCAAATGGTCTAGAAATCTGGGCCAATGTATATTTCTTCTTAGACTCTTCACCTTAAAGATGATGAATTTAATCTGTTGATACTTTCACAAATTTTATTTGCTTAAAGTCACCTTTTTAAAAGTCAGATTTAATCTTTTTGATTCTGTCTTAACAAGGTTTACTTATCTGAAGTCTCCTTTTTAGAAAGTCACCTTGGGGACTTCTCTGGTCGCTCAGTGGTTAAGAATCCGCCTGCCAATGCAGGGGACACCGGTTCGAGCCCTGGTCTGGTCCCACATGCCACGGGGCAACTAAGCCAGTGGGCCACAACTACTGGGCCTGCGAGCCACAGCTACTGAAGCCCACACGCCTAGAGCCCATGCTCCGCAACAAGAGAAGTCACTGCAGTGAGAAGTCCACGCCCCACAACGAAGTGTAGCCCCCGCTCACTGCAACTAGAGAAAGCCCGCGCCGTAAATTTGCTTCTTAGGAAGTCAGAATACTTTTTTTTTTTAATATTTATTTATTTTGGCTGTGCTGGGTCTTAGTTACGGCATGCGGGATCTTCGTTGCAGCATGCAAACTTAGTTGCGGCATGCGAACTCTTAGTTGCGGCATGTGGGATCTAGTTCCCTGACCAGGGATCAAACCCAAGCCCCTTGCATTGGGGGCGCGGAGCCTTAGCCATTGGACCACCAGGGAAGCCCCAGAGTACTTGATTAAAGAGAACGGCTCTTGGGATATTTGAAAAACGGAATGGAACAGACGTCTTAAATTGCACCTCTTGGAGATTCTGGTAAATAGAAGCGTCGAGTGACTGACATTATTTGGGTTGTATGCTTTCAGGAGTGAGGCTGGTAGGTGGGCTTTTCAGTTGTGAGGTGGAGGAGCATGAGACTATTTGATAGTAATTTCCTAAATAATTCATAAATCAACAACTGGAATTCTTTCTCTTTTTTTTTTTTTTTTGCGGTACGTGGGCCTCTCACTGTTGTGGCCTCTCCCGTTGCGGAGCACAGGCTCCGGACGCGCAGGCTCAGCGGCCATGGCTCACGGGCCCAGCCACTCCGCGGCATGTGGGATCTTCCCGGACCGGGGCACGAACCCGTGTCCCCTGCATCGGCAGTTGGACTCTCAACCACTGCGCCACCAGGGAAGCCCAACAACTGGAACTCTTTATGCACACATCTCACGTCAAAGCAAAGTGGGTAGAGATGTATACATCAAACAAAAAAAAGTTTTCTTTTGTTATTTTTTATTATTTTTTTTTACCAATGACTCAGAGCCTGCCTCGATTACAAGGAGTGAATTAGGAATTTTCAGCCTTGCTAATCAATGCACTATGAAAGCAGAAGTCCTCTTCTAGAAAGGACAAATATTAGCATGAATAGAATGACCCTGTCAGCGACAGAGAGAAAGTACTGAAAGGAACTTCGTATAAGAACAGTCTTGAGCCAGTCAAAAGTCTGGACATGCTTTTACATTCTTTCTGAAACTTACCTGCAAGGCTGGGACGCTTTGGTGACATAAATCACATAATCTTTGTTAATGTGAGGAAATGGAACGAGCAGTAAGTTCACATGTGAAGTTAATGCTTGGGATGAATTGAGAAGTAGTTTTCCTGATGATTCCAGAATTTCCCTGCTCCAATCCGTGCTGAGCAACTCTACAAGATAGTTTTCTTAAAGCAGCTTTTTGGGGGTATGTTTCTTTAAAGTAATGTTTTAATTACAGAGGTAATACATGCTTGTTTTGTTAAAAAAAAAAAAAAAAAGAAGTTCGAACACTAGAGCAGAGCATAAAGTATAGAATCTAAACACTCACTCTTGCTCCCTTTTGTCCCCAAAGCCAGTTTCCAGGGTCAGGTTAGCAACTTGTGTGTGACCCTTCAGCTGAAGCACCTGAGAAGAGTTTGGGCCACCTGCAGAGTTGGTCAGCTACAAAGTTGAGAGGGAACAGTCCACACAAGACCACCGTCACTTCTGACACCCGTTGCAAGTCTGAGGGTTCCCCAAGCCCCCCTCAGGTTCGATTACTAGCTAGAAGGCCTCACGGAACTCACTGAAAGCTGTTGTGCTCAGAGTTATGGCTTATTAAAGTCAGCCGGGTGAAGCGGCTCTCAGGACAGGATCTGGGGCTGCACCGAACACGGAGCTTCCATTGTCCTCTCCCCAAGGAGCTGGAACGTGGTGCGTAACTGGTGTTGACACGAGACACTGCGCCAGGTATTGCCAACCAGGGATGCTCACCTGAGCCTTGGTGTTTGCAGTCTTTATTGGGGTTCTGTGACATGGGCATAAACGATTGATTGATTGACGGCCCACAAGGTTGATCTCAGTTTCCAGGTCAGCTGATACTGCGTGACCCAGAGCCCCACCCTAAATCACGTTGGTCTTTCTGGTGTGGCCAGTCCCCACCCTAAATCAGATGGTCAGCCGATGATAAAGCCCAGACCTTCATTTGAGCGTGGTTAGATTCTTTATTACACAGCATCCTTCCTTCATTCATGGTACCTTCCTTAAAAATATACTTTTTAAAAAGAGATGCAGACTCACAGCTATAGAACAAACCAGTGGTTACCAGTGGGCAGAGGGAAGGGGAGGGGCAAGATGGGGTGGGGGATTAAGAGGTACAAACCATCGTTAATAAATACGCTCCAAGGATATATTGTAAAACTCAGGGAATACAGCCAATTTTTAAGTTTTTTTATTTATTTGCTTTGTTGCACCGGGTCTCAGTTGTGGCAGGCGGGCTCCTTAGTTGCAGCTCATTGGCTCTTTAGTTGCAGCATGTGGGCTCCTCAGTTGTGGCAGGCAGGCTCCTTAGTTGTGGCTCCAGGGCTCCTTAGTTGCAGCATAAATGGAATATAACCTTTAAAAATTGTGAATGTCATACACCTGAAACATATATTGTAAATCAACTATACCTCACTTAAAATTATGTATATATGTGTATCTATATTATATATATACACACACACTTTTTTTGCTTTACCATTGACAGAGGACTCTCCCTTATAGATCATAGAGCAGAGGCTGCTGGGAGAGTTCTCTCAACTTTGACTCCATTCCAGCTGAGATATCTCTGAATGCCCATCAGTCTTTTTCTTCCCCTTGCCTCTGAGGAGGAGAAAACGCCTCCTTTCCAGTTTAACATGTGTCTGTACTTTGGTCTGCCTGTTAGGGGATGGCATTTAGTCACTTACTCTCACTTGCCTCTGATTTTTTTTCTCTTTCACTCACTTCTTTGCCTCTATCTACAGACATATTCTTGTTTTGCTTACTAGTTCATTCTATTCTTGAAAAACCTCTAGTAGAATTTTAATAATTGTCTAATAAATCCAGACTCTTCATGGGGCCAAGATAATGCCTTATATTGGTACAGCACCTCACAGTTTTGAAAACACTTACCCTGCAGTGGTTTGTACATAGTGGGTGCGTGGTTAATAGGCAGAGAGCGAGAGTCTAATTGGAGGAAACAGCGGGAGCAGAAGCACAGAGGTGTGAACAGGCCCGGCAGGGGAAGCAGGATGAACGCTGCGTGGAAGAGCCTGGAAGGGCAGGGGAGCCAGATTCAGTGGTGCCTTGAATGCCATGGTCCCAAGGTTTGGCACCTCTGTTGGTTAGGGTTCTACAGAGGTACAGCCAGAAGTGAGGGTGCCTAAGCTTGGGTTGTGAGAAAAGTGGGAAGGGAACGGTCAGAGCTGTAAGCAGGAAGCGTGGGCAGCATGTAGGAATGAGGGAAGAAGAGGCCTTGTGTCCAGAGGTTAAAAGGTGCTTAGTAGTGCTTCCCTGGTAGTGCAGTGGTTGAGAATCTGCCTGCTAATGCAGGGGACACGGGTTCGAGCCCTGGTCTGGGAGGATCCCACGTGCCGCAGAGCAGCTGGGCCCGTGAGCCACAACTACTGAGCCTGCGCATTTGGAGCC